ACCAGTCCAAATCCCACCACAAAGAGCGAAGCTTTCGCAGACAGGCGGAGAAGTGTCCAAAAGTTACCTTTGCTTCATTTTGATGTTAAGATCTCTGCCTCAGGAGGAGCTTCAGCCTTATTAGCATAATGTGTGATGTATGTGAAAGCATGTTTTCAAACTACGCCTGCGGGAGCTTATACCCACCTCTACATGTGATGATGAAACTTCCCTTTTGAATATTCATTCTCCATCCAAAATAAAAGGCCCCTGCTTTCCCTTGCTCTGTGGGGCCATGGCTTTGGAAGTGATTCCATGTGGTCTCCTTATTTGCTGCAAATAAATTGTTCTTTGTGTGACAACTACTTCCGGTGAAGGCTTTGATTTCAACTTGCCAAGAAGCGAACCCACTTTGGTTTGGTAATACTTTCTTTCCAAATGCATTCCTATTATATCACTCTTGGAATTTTTAACATTCTTCATGATTCACATTCTCATTTTCTCTCTTTGCTCATAGACAGAAAATGCTCTTATACTGTATATTTGATGTTTAAAATTCTATCATCCTTTGGGTTTCAACTCAAACACTACCACTTTCCCAACCCCCTTTCCAAACTCCTAATTATGAGAAATTCTGAGGTGGGAAATGGTGCAATTCTGGCTTAACCAAGGTGGAAATGCCAGCAGAAGGACACTCGCTAACATTATTCAGAGACAGCATGTAAAATATTTTCCACAGTTGAACTCTCAATGTATCTTGGGCAATTCATTAATCACTGAAATTGTTTTCCCAGTCCAGCCTTCGCAAAGGAAGACTTCCCATCCTGGACTTTTTATTGCCTTCCAGCCCATCTGCTTACCCAAGGAAAAGAACACAAAACTTGCTGTTCCCAGAGTTTGCAGTTTTTCTCCCCTGCCTCTTAAATTTCTTACATAAATCTCATTTTTGCTTTATTTCCGTCCTCTCATGTACAAGTAAACTCTTAATGTATCAACTAATCAGACCCTCTAATAAAGGTCTTATTACAGGCCACACCTATAAGGCCAACTCAACAGGATTCTATGTTGTAGTTCCCAACCTAGACCTGGACGAGAAGCAGGCCACTGAAAGGCATCCTGTACTGTTCTATTTACCTCCAAACCACAGAGAAAATCAGTCATCACAGCCCAGTCAATCTTCTCTCAGACCCATCTTCCCCTAGAAAGGAGAGCCTATATTGTCCTGGTATAAACTAATACATGCCCATCTTCCAGACCTCGCACAGATTAGGACATTTGTGCCACTGGAGTCATTTCCTCAGATGTAGATATTAACACTTCCGTTCAGATATTGATATCACACTAGACATGGCCCTGACTGCAGAAGTTTCAGTTTTGGTAAGTAAAAAGTTATAGAAAATGTGTTTTTTTGCCCAGTGTAATCACCCCAGGAAACCCAAAGTAAGCTATAGAGGATGGACAGTGCAGCTTCACTGCCAGGCTGCATGAGGTTTATACATATTTGTGTCTTTTGGGCTGAGAAAGAGGTGGTAGAGAATCTCCACTGCTTAAAACTAGAGGAAAGACCTAGAGAACAATGGTGTAAAAATCATATTTCCTAACCAGGTTGTTGTCTATTTTTTAAATTTGAGCACAGCTTAGAGTTCCATTGAAAAGAAGTAATTATCATCCATTTCATCAACACCCCCATATTCATTTTAAGACTCTCATAACTTTTAACTAGAATTTTTACAATATGCTCCTAGCTGGAATTAAGACTTGCCTTCTTCACACTTCAACGAAGACCTCAAACTTTCATCAGAGTATCCTTCTAAAATGTCGATTACATTATGGAACGCTCCTGCCAATAAAACATTACATAGCCCCTCATTATCTTTTAGTTCAGTGTCTGAATTACTTAGTACAAGTCTTAACAAAACAATGTGACACTTTTCTTCTTCAGCTCTTTGCTCCCCCTTCATTTTACGATACATAATTCATACTAAACTACTGTATGCTAAAGGGAACGAGCTAGTAGAAAGTGAACAATTAAAAATTAAGCAAGAGGAAGAAGGAGGATGGCGAGGATGGAGAGTTGATTATGTCATTTATACCCATATATAGGGTCTATATGGGTATATAGCCTTTATCTTAGATCAACTTGGTTTATATTTCACCATCAAATGCATTTTCCCCATTTTAGAAATCACTGTCTTGAATTTCTCCCTAAATTTTGTCTTCCCCCTCCTAATAAACAAAATACTTTCTGTGCATTTGTTCAGGTCAATGATCTAGGAGTCATTTTTCACTCCTTTCCCTTACCCAAACCATCAGCAAGTCTTAATGATACTATCCCCAACATATCTTTCAAATCCCTACGTTTATCTCTATTTCCACCTCTAATATCACCACATTAGTCCTATCCTCTTATCTACTCTTCTTCAATAGCCTCTCATCTGGTCTTCATGCTTTCATAATTGTCCTACTCCAGCCCATTCTCCTGTAGTATTGACTCATTGTCTTAAAATTCAAATTGCATCAAGTAACTTAGTGTTTAAAATCCTTCAATGACTTCTCAATGCATGTGAAATACAGTCTGGACTCCTTGCCCCCAAGGCCCTCTCTCCCTCTCAGACTCCATTGTCTGCAGCTCTCTCTTTAGCTCCCTGGCATCTGCTACTCTAATCTTTTTCAGTTCCTCAAATTTACCAAACCTTTCATCATCTTTGAAAATGCTCTTCCCTCATTCTGCCTTTCTCAAGGTTTCTTTGCACTTTTAATGTTTGCAATCATTTTATTTTTGCTTTTTCTTAAGTTCTGTGAGGACCAAGAGTCAGAGACCCTGTTAATCTTGCACACTTTTATACCCCAATAGCCTCTGGACCATTCTTGGCACATAATTTCCTAAATAATGCTTGTTGAACAAAGAAATCGTTGAATCAATGTAAGGCAAAGCACAATTAGAAGTATTTTATTGGGGACGAGGAAGGACATCTATTTCAATGAGACTAGAAGAAAGGAGGAAAGGGCAGGTTTGTAGCTTTGGGGTAGGAAGTTACCTGAAGGCTTTGATTTCCTCTCTGAACTAGGAGGACAAGTCCCTGCCTAGAATTAATGATAAGTGATGGGGTATGGGGTTTGAAGAGAGCCACTGAAATCTGAATAACTACTAAAAGAAATGGAAAAATTACTCAAGAAAATCTAAAAGAAATGGTAAATAGTTCAGGTTTGTTGGAGACCATGCCATTGTAAGGACCTCAATCATCAGAGCTGAGATTTTCTGCAGTGCTGCTCTGCAATGTGGGCTTTGGGGAGAAATCAGTTAGCTTCATTGAACCAGTGTTTAAAGTTTGAAGGATAGGTGTGAGGAAAGTTAAAAGGGGTTAAAAAAATTGAGAGAAGGGTGAAAGTGATTGAGCTGATTGACAAATGTCTTAGGTTGAGTAGAGAAACAAGTGAAGCTAAATGAGCAGTAATAGCTTCTGACAAAATGGGAGGGTTACAGGAGAGGACTCCATGTGGCTGGGGAGAAGGGCAAAGGGGACAAGATGGGTGTGGCAGAGAAATCTCTTTAGAATAAGAGACTTATAGGCAGTATTTCTTCCAAAATCTTTTTATACCTGATGACATTTTAACTTCTTCAAGACTGTGGTATCTTTAGGGACGAAAGAGCCTAGAATATTTTATGGAATGCATGATAATGAAGTGATTCATTTGGCAGTGGCAAAACAAGGCCACCTCAGGTACTATTATTAACCATTCACGCATTTCAACAATTTCCAGAGGCAATTTGATAAATGATTCAGGATAAATTCAGATCATCAGCAGGTTATACTCACTTAGAACATTTTCCCTCTGGCTGGGCTGAGTGAGCTCTCCAAGAATGTATTTTTTTTCCCAAGGAAGACCAGCCCTAGCTACCATCCAATGCCAATCCTCCTCTTTTTTTTTTTTTCCTGAGGAAGATTGGCCCTGGGCTAATATCCGTACCCATCTTCCTCTACTTTATATGGGACGCCGCTGCAGCATAGCTTGACAAGCAGTCCATCAGTGTTCTCCTGGGAGCCGAACCTGCGAACCCCGGGCCGCCGAAGCAGAGCATGCCCACTTAACGACTGCGCCACCGGGCGGGCCTCTCCAAGAATGTATTTAATGAAGTGCTGCACTCATCAGCCATTTCCAGGCTCTGTAATGCCTGCCTGAGTACTGGAGCTAATTCGCTAGTAAAGGAGTTTTCTCAAATATTCCGTACCTCTACACAGAACATTAAGAGGAATTACATATCTTTAGTTGTTTACCTCAGTTAACAAATATTTATTGATAAAATAAAGCTACTTCAGGTGTGACTTCGCAATAACAGCAGGCTGGCTGGCAAAAGGACAAAGTTGAACATAATTCTCAGCAGAATCATAGCAGGGCAGGTGAAAATTTGATCTCGATATCAAGAGTAACACACACACAGAATACTTTACAAATCTTGTCATGTATATCTAGCTTATTTGATCCTCACAACAATCCTTGGAGGTGTTATTATCGCCTATTTTATAGATGAGAAAACTGTGCTTTAAAGATTCAGTGACTTATCCAAGGTCACTGTGAGTAGTTTTTTCCCAATTACACTTCACGTCCTCAATTCTCCAATAACAATAAATTTTAGAGATACTATGTTATGTGGACAGCTTAGCACTACACAGCACAATGGTGCCATGGGAAGGATCCCACCCATGCTTAGTTCATTTAGAGCTCCAAGAATTGGAGAGGTGTGCAGAAAGACTTCAATAGGAGAATGCATTTTCTATCATGGCTCCACTAGGTGGCAGTAAAGGCCACCACTAGAGACTAGCGTGTGTCAGACGCTTGGCTTTAAGTGGTCAAAGCGGGAAGGAGGAAGGAAGCGAAGCAACGCTATTCTTTTAGAGTTAGAAAGGGTGCATGTGTATGTGCATGTGTGCGTCTGTGTGCGAGTGTGTTTGCAGGGCAGAAGAACTGAAAAATTCATAGAACTGTTCCTGCACTCTATACAGTTTCTCATACTGCTGGTGGTGGGTAGGACCAGAGTACAAGAAAGACCTTGATATGTAGCACTTCAATATTATACTATGTTCTCTTAGCCCAAACCTGCAATCCCACCCCTGGATGGTTGTCTAGTTAGTATTTACATGATGTCTAAAACTATCATTGTCATTCAGTATAGAAGTGAGTGTTCTCTCAAGTGCAAAGATGTATGAATTTGGTGTATTAATGTCTATGGCTGTGCCTACACTCTTGTCTTTCTCCACAAGTGTATTACAATTTATTAGCTGGTAGAGAAAAAAGCACCTTGCAGTATCATGTGGTTAAAGGAATTCAATAGGTGAAGGAACCCAAGATACCTTTGATGCTTTCCTGTTCAGTAGTAATCAGCATTGCTAAAGGTTAGTTGCAAATGTTGGCCATTGAATGAGAGTTCTTCACTAGAGCATTCCATCTCAGAAAATACGTGTATCTAGAAATGAAGAGTTGGAATTCATCTTTTCTACAGAATGATGTTTAGATGCCACCCTAAACCTTCTGAAAGTTAGAAAAAAATGTTCCATTTGTCTGTGAATCTCTACCGACTCTGGGGATACCCCCACCCCAATTATACAACCAGAGTTCTCATCAATTTGAAGAGTGTTCTATTCAAGGAAACTCCTCCGTTGGAGGCAGTTACTTTTCTTCCGGCACTGGGGATAAATCAGGAGCTTTCTGCCCACACCTTGCAACCGTGAAGCGACTCATGCGAAGAGCTTCTTCGTACCCCGGGAGGGTGTCCACAGAGGAGGGCAGACGGCCCAGCGAGCTGTGAGAGTGAGCCACTGCCAGGATTCTTCGAGCCGCGGGGCCGAACGCTGACTGCAGGGCTGGTAAGGAAAGGAGTAGAGTGAGAGGGAATGTGACCTCCTCAGAAACCAGAGTTACAACACACTTCATTTCCCTTCATTTTTAATGTGTCCAAACTCATTGTCACTTTCTGTCACAAACGTTATGAAAATCCTGTGAAGCTTGTTTCGAAATCATCTTTACTTTGCTAGAAGATCCTGTTTTCTCTGATATCCTCGAATAATCTAAATTGTGTTCCCATTTCTCACAACCCTGTCCTTCTCCCTTTGCAGACTTGGAACGTGTTACACCAACCCACTGACATTGCAGGTCCCTTAGGAATATTTATTTCTACCTTATTTACCTTTTCTCTATAATGACAATGAGAAAAGGGAGGCCAGAAAGGTGAACAACAATACGTTACGTTGTTCTCTTTTCAAAATAAATATCACAGTGCTTTTCCGCCAGCTGTTCTGCCTGCTAATTTACTCTCCAGTTTTAGGAAAGAATATAATATAAAGAAGAGAAAGAAGAAAATAGAGGAAAGTGTCCTATGATTATGGAGGGGATGTTGGGGTTAGCATTTACTGTATCAAGACTTGAAGGATAAAGAACTGAAAGTACACACAACTAATTTCTCTGAAGATATAAAATAGTATAGATAATAGAAAATGTAGGTTTTTACAAAATCCAAGACATTTTTGAAGAAGGAATATACACAGAGATCAAGATATTTTTATCAAAATAACTATTTGTGAACTGGGTACTTCTTCCTATAAAACATTTCCACTATTGTCTCCAAAACTTCACTTCTATTTTAACGCTGTCACCAGTCAGACCAATATTTGAGAAGACAGTATCCCTGAGGGCCCAGGTCACTGCACCATGAGGCTTCTGAGTTTCAGAATCTTTAATACTATTCAATCAATGTTCTTATACAGTTGTACCATCCTAATCGTTTAAACATGGGCTCGCCTCCCATATTATAAGCCAGCGTACTCACAAGTGATTGTGTTCTGGAGAGTGCTGTCATGATCAAAAGCGATGACCGTCACTTCACAGGGTGGCTGGCCCTCGTCTTCCCTATTCTGCTGGCAACTCAGACAGCAGCGGAAGCACACAGAAGTCAGGCCACACAGCAGGAGCAGTGCGCCAATCACTACCAGCAACCTGCAAGGAGCCCACAGGGCAGTGAGAGCTCTGTGATCTGGTGTGTTTCCCAACCTGGGCATAATCAGTCTTCAGTGTCTCCATTTTGATTCTTGTTTGACTATTTTATAGAATGGTTATAAGATTTTAATTCTAAGGCTTTTACTTCACGTAAATACTTCCTTATTTTGTCAGCAAGACTAAGTCTGTTCACCAGAGCAATTAATAGGAGATTTAATGTGGTTTGGAGGGGCTGCTTTTTATTTTACTGAAGTAATTTCCTCTATGTGGCTATTTCTAGAGCTGACCCTGAGCAAGTACACAATAATCTGTGATGTTGGCGGAGGAGATGGTATTGAAATAGGAAATCCTGGCATATTATCACATAGGTTAGTGATGAAGTAAAGAAACTTTACTCCATGAGATGCAAGGTAAATAGGCTGTCTGTCTCATACGTTTTTGCCTGCTGTCAATATATTAAAAAGCTAAAAAAATAATAATACCTCTGAGAAAAATAATGTCCCTTTTTTGTTTGTTTTTTTTGCTAAGGAAGACTGACCCTGGGCTAACAGCCATGCCCATCTTCCTCCACTTTATATGGGACACCGCCACAGCATGGCCTGACAAGCAGTGCGACGGTGCACGCCCAGGATCCGAACTGGCGAACCCTGGGCCACCCCAGCGGAGCAGGCACACTTAACCACTTGCGCCACCTGGCCGGCCTCTAAAGTCCCTTTTAAATGTCCTTTTGGGTATTATAGCTGAAACTTACCATATATACCAGAGATGTACCCAATCTGTGGTCAGGCAACTATGGAGAAAGAACAAAGTTTTTGCAATAACCATATAATCAATGCCTGTTGTAATTCCAGAATCAGAAATGTGAGTTATAATATGATACCTTGTTATAATAAAAGCATCACAGGTTATAATACCTTCAATGTAACCAGCTGAATCTATTGTGAAATGGGATGACAAATAAAGTTTATACTATAGATGACATTGTAGAAAACATTTTTTAAATCGTTATAAGACAGACTAAAGTAGCGATCATGAAAACAGTGTTAATAGAAAATGTAACCATGACCATTGTAAACAGTTATGATGGCAATTACCAAGAAAGAACTTGCAATGCAAGTTTACAAAGAGTGAGTTTGAAAATGGATGTGAAAGTTAAGGTTTGTATATATTTAAGGTCAATAACATTTAAACGTAAAGGAAATTTCAGTTAAAGCATGAAAGCAATACAACGAAGTTTGTAATTTATGTTTTGCAAGTTGTTGCAAAAAGGGCCACCATAAAGCCATAAAAACTCCCACCATAAAAAGACCCCTAAATTTTCACATCCAGGATCAAAACTGATATGCATATCCACTCAAGCTAAATAAGAAGGGGGAAAAATGGGGAAACCAACTTCATCCTGATGAAAGCTAATTGAATATTCTGAATTAACTAGGGCGATTATAAATTTTCTATATGGAAATTAAAAAAATATGTATTGCGTGGGAGAAGGAGGGTAGGATAAGCTCAGGAGTGGGAAGGGGAGGAGAGGGAAAATATTTGTTTATCTTTGAAGATAAGTAAATTTAATAACACTTTCTGATATACCAATCTCTTGAAATGTATTGAAATCTGTTCTATATCCTCTCTTTGGTTACACAGTTAGAGAACACACAGTTTGGTTTTTCACTGAACAGTGTCTCCTCCAGGATTTCTCACATTCCCCACTTGTTCAAAGCCCCTTCTAGTTGTACAACTTTACAATTCTGATTCCATTAAAAATGACTCTTCCTATGGTGGTAGGTGTCTAAAACCTCACACAGCATGTGATAAGTAACCAAGGCCATCACCATTTCCTCTGAGTTTAACAGACTAGGCTGTTGGGAAACCCTTCCCATAGCTAAATATATGTTTTCCTTCAGCCTGAGCAAATGTTTTATTCAAACTGTCTCTGCTTTTTTTAATAGTTTACCTCCAAGTGGAATGAATCGCTTCCCTTTTTATCTTATGTCCTCTGTGTCTACGTAAGACCTAATTATGACAGGTTTAGATTAAGGAATAACTACCTCAAAGTACTAGGTAAATGAAATCTGCAATAAATATTAACTCACCCTAAGAAATAGAAAATGCTTTTCAGATCTGAAGTGATGACACTACTTTGAAAATTACCCAAGTATATCTGCCTATGACTAAATATTGAACCCAGTCTGTCTGGATGAGTCACTGAGAAGCATGGGTGAGAAAGTCTTTTGCAAATTTCTATGACTGTATAAATTGAGATGAAGTATGCTTTGAAGACTAGCTTTGGAAAAAACACTGTCAGCAGTGTTGTTTTGAATACTTATAATGACATGTAAACATGTCTTCATTTTTGGGTAATGTGTCTGTGAGATGAGTGGGTTAATACCCATTTAAGTAGAAATAAGGGAAGTCTCAGATATCTAATGACATCTTGACCCTATTTGGGGTATTGATGTTTTTGTCTGTTTCTTCTTCCTCCCAGCCTGAACTCTTACATACTTACTGTTCAGAATTGACACAGTTCTCCTCACATCTTGCCCAAGGAAGCTGTAGGAGGAAGAATAGTCTCAGACAGGGAAATCATCTCAACTGCTCTGCTCAGCAGCCTGTACATCATCCCTTGTGACTGTGCTCTGTTAGATCAGTAGGTGAGAGCAGGGTAAACATGAGGACACGGTCACAGGGTCAGCCATATTTAGGACTGTTTGTTTTCATCTCTCCCATGCCTATTCATTATTGTATTTGAAGTGGGAGAACCTAGAAGAGCAAATATCTAATTTGTTGTTTTCTTTTTCCTTCCTTCCTTCCTTCCTTCCTTCCTTCCTTCCTTCCTTCCTTCCTTCCTTCCTTCCTTCCTCCCTCCCTCCCTCCCCTCCTTCCTTCCTTCCTTTTTCTTTCTCTCTCTCTCTCTCCCTCCCTCCTTCCCTCTCTTCCTTCCTTCTTTTTTCTTTCTCTCTCTTTCTCTCCCTCCCTCCTTCCCTCCCTTCCTTCCTTCCTTCCTTTTTTTTTTTTTTTGGTGGTAGGTGAGCATCACTGCCTTTTTGAATGAGAGACAGTGTTTATATCAATTTGTTTGTTCTAGAAATTTCCTGATCTGTCCCTCAGGATATTCTTATTGTCTTCCTAATTCTTTCCCAGTTGCAGATTGAATTCTACCCCACTGCTCTTTTTCATTCCCTCAGTACATTGATAACTCACCATACATGAGAAGAAGGGAGGAAAGAGAAAAGAGGGAGGAAAAACTTACTTATTGAATAGCTACTTTATGCCAGTCAGACTGCTAAGAATTTTTAATATTTCATTACATTTTATCACACAAATAACCATGTAGGTGGTATATTTAACCTTATTTTGAAAAGTTAAGAGACTAAGGCATAGAGATTTAAGTAACATGGCCAATTGCACATACTTATTGATGAAGCCAGAATTCAAATCAAATTCTGTCATTTATATGTGGTGAATGAATTGATATAATCAGAGACAAATCTGCTCTAACAACTCCTTGACATTTCTATCAAGCCCCTTCTACTCCTAGTAAATAAACTTCCCACTCCTTCTACCTTATATTTCAGTTGACTTTCACCTTCAAAAACCTCTCTAGGTAAACTTTTGTTCTAGAAACTGTTTTACTCTTCCAAAAACTTGATTGACTTGATATTTCAGGAAATCAACAACAAAGGCCACAAAGGTCCTCTAAAAAGGGACAGAGATTTGTACTTATTAGGAGTTTATGGGGGGGATACATATTCATGATGTATCAGGTGAAAAGGATTTGTAAAAGGACTAACAGCTGTCATCTCAGATAACATTAGAGAAACTCCTGGTTTTGTTTTAATTTAAAATAATTGACCACTAAGGATGACAAAGGTGTTTCCTCAACCCAGGCCTGGTATTTTGTTTCACTTTCTTGACTAAAGGTAAGAAAACCCTTAAAGTGCTCAGCAGATAAAATACCTCTTTTCAGACCTGTTGCCAAAAGAGAAGAGAAAGGAAGGGAAGGGCAAAGAAGAGAAGAGGAAGCAAAAAGAAAAAGAAAAAAAGAAATGGATTTTTAGGCATTAATTTAATTGGCATATAGGAAGCAAAATAGACAGCCCCCTCCCTGCCAGGGGCTGTACAGGAATCTGATACTAGCCAGTTCCTTCATTTGCTCTCCTTCTTAATAGATTTCATAGCCATATAAACTTCCCCTTGACAATTGTCCAGAATCCCTTAGTCCAATGACCCCTTTCTCAGCTAATGAATTACTCAGGGGCTTCCAATTTGTAGTGGGGAGAAAAATAAAGGTCCAAAGTATTTTTAAAGAGTTTTCTATCTCAACTTATTTCTTTTTTATTTATTTTTATTTATTTATTTTTTTGTGAGGGAGATCAGCCCTGAGCTAACATCCATGCTAATCCCCCTCTTTTTGCTGAGGAAGACCAGCTCTGAGCTAACATCTGTTGCCAGTCCTCCTTTTTTTCCCCAAAGCCCCAGAAGATAGTTGTATGTCATAGTTGCACATCCTTCTAGTTGCTGTATGTGGGACGCGGCCTCAGCATGGCCAGAGAAGTGGTGCATCGGTGCTCACCCAGGATCCAAACCCGGGCTGCCAGCAGCGGAGCGTGCGTACTTAACCGCTAAGCCACGAGGCCTGCCCATATCTCAACTTATTTCTGATCCAGAAGCACCTAAACTGCTAGAACTGATTTAAGGCTGATTTTGGAAACTCAGTTTAGGGGAATTATGTAGTTAGTTTTGATAATTTACTTGGGAATTTGAGGGATGGGTGATAAGATGCTAAAAGAGAGAAATATACATAAGTGGCACTTCTAAATTGCTGTAGCTATCCTAGTTGTATCTTTTCACTGATGTTGTCATTAGTCATAAATGCACGATGTAACCCTGTAATACTAAGGAAACATTCTAGTTACTCTTTTCCACTAGCCCTTTGGTTCTATATATGTCTTTTCCCCTCATTCATTTCCCCCCAGATTCTTCTGAGAGTTGATTTATCTGAGAAACAAACAAACAAAGGCCTTATTCCTGTGTTTTCACAACTCACCTGGATGAAATACATCAGGACAGAGGCTGACACGGCATGGACTCGCACTCCCATCAGGATGAACTCTTACTTCTCCAGGATCAAGCACTGAATGATCATTGCCTCCTTTCCATTCTTTGTGCCATGTCTGACTTCTTGACCTAGAGGACTTAAGGAGAAAAACTTTTCTCAGCAATAAATCAGTTTTTCCTTCTCTCTCTCTTTCTCTCTCTCCTCTTACTCCCTTGAGATTTTATTTTCTGTGGTCTTTTTCTCCCCTTTCATCCTAGCTTTCTTCTCTATTTCTATTTCTTTTTTTAAGGTCTCCACTTTGCTTCCCTTTGCCTTCTTTTCTTTTAGTCCTTTCTTTATGTCTTTAGCTTTCTTCCACTGCCCCCAAAAGGAAGCCATTCAGGGAGGACACATTAATCCTCTGAATTAGGTATTTTTCTAGGCAGTGCTGAGAAACTTGACTTTTGAGAGGATCAAAGGCACATTGCTGGTGACCAAATAAGTTCTCTTCTCCATCAGAAAAGGAGTAATATTCTTGGTCCTTCACTGCAGCGCTCCAGGTGACTGCTGAAGGTTGAAAGGCACCCTGACAATCTCCATTCACTCCCCTCTCCGTGTGATTAGCCCTCCTCTCTTGCTCTTTGAAATCCTCCCCTCCACTGTGTTGATAATCAACTCTCCTGGTTCCGGGTCATTTGTTTTATTCCTAACCATTGAAGTAGACTGAGAGGTTGCCAAGTGAACTGGAAAGCCATCCCACCTTTGGAAAAAGCAGGTTTGGAGATTAGAATTTCTGGGTGCTGTCTGCGAAATCCCTCTGACTTCAATTATCATTGAAACAGATAAGTCAGACAGACAGACATGTTTTTTTAAACTGGGTTCCAAGATCTACAGCTTGCTCTCTCTCTCTCTCTCTCACAAATAAAATCTAAGGTCATAGTAAAAATAAGCACACATGGAAAGGACATAGAATGTTTGTAAAGAAACATATCTACAGGAACAAATGAATACTGTATAAATCATTTATGCTTAAGTTGGTAATCTTTGCTTAATATGGACTATTTCAAAAAATTTTTTAGAAATACAAGAATTTCATAAGAAACTTAGACATTAGTTTACAGGGATATATCTATTGCATAAGAATTGAATAAAACCACTTTTCACATCCTTTCTAAAAGTCTAATTGTTTTGAGTGATTGTTGAGGGGAGACCGTTGTGGGGGGGTTGATTCTAAGAGCCCTCAGGGGCCGGCCCGGTGGCTTAGCAGTTAAGTGCGCGCGTTCTGTTACTGGCGGCCCGGGTTCGGATCCCGGGCGCACACTGCCTCACCGCTTCTCCGGCCATGCAGAGGCCGTGTCCCACATACAGCAACTAGAAGGATGTGCAACTATGACATACAACTATCCACTGGGGCTTTGGGAAGGGAAGAAAAGGAGGAGGATTGGCAATAGATGTTAGCTCAGAGCTGGTCTTTCTCAGCAGAAAGAGGAGGACTACCACGGATGTTAGCTCAGGGCTGATCTCCCTCACAAAAAAAATAAATAAAATAAGAGTGCTCACACAGCATGACAATGTGATATGAGAATAGAGACTACAAACTTTTTTTTTTTCTTAGATGAGAAAATCGAATAGTGAAAGAAAAGCACGGTATGATACTGATGATTCGAAATCATTCAGTTCCAAAACTAAATGAGCACTACATTATTTTTTAAAATGGAAAGACGTTGGGGTTAGTATGAAGAGTACCTTCTGAATTTCAGTGGAAAGCTTGGCCAAGTGGGAGGTATTTTACAGGACAGGAGATCAGAACTCTAATCCTGGCCCTCCACTCAATTATGATGTAGTTTCTCCAAGCCTTAATTTTCCCATGCATAAAACAGGAGTGAGATGCCCACTTGACCTGCTATAGATGTCGTATTATAGAGAAAAAACAATCAGAAACACGAAAGCATTTTGATTAGAATACTTATATTTGGAGTGCCAGGTACACGAGTATCATCATTAACTTTTCCCTTCTCTTTCTCTTGTCAGAGAGACTGTAGAGCATCATGGCTAAGAATCCAGCTAGGTTGTCTGGGATTAAATACTTACTTTGTCACTTATTAGCTGTATCATCTTAGGCAAGTTACTACATCTCTCTGTTGGTTCAGTTTCATCCTATATAAAATGGGATAATAATAATAATGTTACTTCATAGACTTAGAGAGATTAAATAAGTTAATGTGTGCAAAGTGCATATTATTGCCCTGATATAACAAGTATTTTATAAGTGTTAACTAAGATTATCTTGATTTCCACTCAATTTTACCAATGACCTTCACCTTCAATGTGCTGGATAACTGATGTCCTCCTTGCCTCTCATGTGTATTGTTACCATGACCATGTTTTATCTTTCCTAGTATTCCAATTCTTGAATATTTGTCCTTGTAATTCTGGCCATCTCTCCTCCCAGTCATGCCAGCCTTCACCTGCATGAACAGGTTTGCCAGTTAACATAACATTTTTCCCCCATTGCACTTTCCTGCCGTGTGATTGCTATCATCTTTTTGCCCTCCAGTTTCCTAATAGGTTTGAACAAAATAGTATTCTGTTAATGACCTCCTTGTTACTTTTTTTCATAGAATTACTACTGCCTTTTTTTTTTTCTCAACGTATTTTTCCCTGGAGAAATAGAACTTGTTGTTTATCCTAATGAAAGTGGTATGCCTTGAGGCAATTTTAGCTCTAAACTCAGCCCCTATCAAAGCTTCCATTTACAGAATGAGGAGAGAGGAAAGAGGATTCAGGTAGGAAGACTGAAGAAGGTACACATTGGAAGGGCAGGTAGCTGGGGTAGAGGAGAATGATCTCATTACAATCTTACACAATCTTGTAGTTCCATTAAGCTTGGAAATCATTAGCTTATACCCAGGTTGTTAAGGACTTCGAGTGGAACCAATGGAGGGTACATGTACACAGGCCTTTTCACCTATGCTTCAGGGAATTGTTATACAATAGCTGTAACAAGTGAGGCTAAAGAATTACTTTTTTCTATTTCCTTTGACTACTCTCCTTTTGACCTTGCCTAAGTCAGATGGCTTACCATGGGTTCCCTTCTTCTCTGTGCCTTGGAGAAATAGACACTGGACTATTATCACTCTGAGGCATCAAGAATGAGCTATAAAGAGCTAAGCAGTGGGTTGGGCCACAGCTATGGCTTAACAAATAGATAATATGTCAGGAGAAACCAGTTCTATCTTACCAACACTAGGAGCTCCCCTAGGAAGTGTCTCTATCTTATGAATCAAGATCGCAGCCTAAGTATTAAGAGGCAACCTCAGAGGCATTAAAAGTCAGTGATAGGATTAGATTTAAGGAATTTTAACAACATAAGAGGATAAACTTTATCACAGGATTATTAGTTTTATATGCCATGTAACAAATTACCACAAATTATGTGAGCAGCAGTGTAAAACAACACACATTTATTATATCATGGTATCTGTGAATGAGAAGTGTGGGCACAGCTTAGTTGGATCCTGTGCTTAGGGTCTCAAAAGGCTGCAATCAAGGTGTCTCCTGGGTTGTGTTCCCATCTGAAGGCTCAACTGCAGAAGAATACACTTCCAAGCTCCCTCAGGCAGAATTCATTTCTTTGTGGCTATAGGATTCATGTAAACTTGCTTAATTAAATCCAGCCAGAAAGGGAGAGAGAAGAGAGAGAGAAACTTTAGCATGATAGGCACTATACTTTATGTAATCACATATATGTGATCACATACATCCCCTCACCTTTGCCACACTCCACATGACACCCACACTCAAGGGGACATTACACAAGGGCATTAACACCAGGAGGTGGGGATAATGAGAACTCATTAAAATCTGTCAAATATGTCTGGGTATCTGCCACAGAAAGATTGTAGAAATTATCTCCACGGATCTTAAAAATAGGAGAAATCCAAATGTCCATCAATGGATGAATAGATAAACAAAATGTGGTAGATACATACAAGGAAATATTATTCAGTCTTAAAAAGGAGGGAAATTCTGACACATGCTACAACATGGGTGAACCTTGAAGACAGTATGCTAAATGAAATGTCAGATATAAAAGGACAAATATTGTATGTTTCCACTTATATGAAGTACCTAGAGTAGTCAAATTCATAGAGAGAGAAAATAGAATGGTAGTTTCCAGGGGCTGGGAGGAGGAAGGAATAGGGAGTTGTGTTAGGGTTCTCCAGAGAAGCAGAACCAATAGGATGTGTGTATATAGAGAAAGAGATTTATTATAAGGAATTGGCTCTTTCAATTACGGAGGCTGGCAAGTCCAAATCTACAGTATGGGCTGGTAGGCTCAAGACCCAGGAGAGCTGATGATGCAGTTCTAGTCCAAAGACTGTCTGCTGGAGAATTTTTTCTTATTTGAAGGAAGGTCAGTTGTTTTGTTCTACTCAGGTCTTCAACTGATTGGATGAGGCCCATCACATTATGAAGGGTAATCTGCTTTACTCTACTGATTAAAATGTTAATCTCATCCAAAAACACCCTGGCAGAAACACTCAGAAGGATGTTTGACCAAATATCTGGGCACTCTGTGGCCCAGTCAAGTTGACACAAAATCAACCATCACAGGAGTATTTTTTAATAGATACAGAGTTTCAGTTTGGGATGATGAAAAAGTTCTGGCGATGGCTGGTGGTGATGGTCGCACAACAATGTGAATGTACTCAATGCCACTGAACTGTACACCTAAAAAATGATTACAATGGTAAAAATTTTATGTTATGTAAATTTTACCACAATAAAAAAAGAGAGGAACCTACTTGTTTCTATCAGGATTAAATAGTGAAAGGCAAAAATTGGCAGTGCTGAGGAGCCAGATCACACAGAAGACAATGATTGATCTAGCTTTCAAACTCTGCACATTGTGGCTCCTCAATATGGGCTTCTGGTTTGAGGAAAGTCAAGAAAAGATTTGAAGGTGACCCTAGTGTGGGTGTCCTCTGCCTCACACTGTACTTTTAAAGTCTTCTATGAAGTGGATATTCTCTGCCGAGGTGATCTGAAAAGTCTCTCACTGAATCCTTTTGTGACAGATTCATATTGCATTTATAGTATCTCTTAGAAGATTTAACTATGTCTCTTATTAACTGGTATAATTGAAAGAACGGTGAGCTGAGTTCTTGTATGACATCAGATAGAAAAGAGATATTCAGTAAATCACTTAAACTTTTTGGGCTTTAGTTCCACTCTCAAAA